TTTAATTTAATTTCATAGTTTTAACGTAATGTTATAACATTATTTTATGGGCCAAAAATTATCCATATGATTTTAATATATTGTTTTAAAATAGTTGCATTCACAAATAACGATTCCTAACAATATTAAAATAAAATAGATTTACATATTTTATTAATAATTTAAGCAAAAAATTAAGTTTGAGTCAGGGATAAAATTACTTTTATTTGTGCGCAAGAAGTAATATGCTTATGTGTATACATATATAAAATAATTAGGAAGTTAAAAAAACACCTTCTATGGTTACCAATAATCTTTATGACTATCTGCAAATATTGTTATTATTTAACTCAGAATCTGAATCTCCATACTAATTTAGCAAACTACAACTACAAATAATATTTGATTGGTTTAAAGTTATTGGAGTTTATTTTATACCCAATATCAAACTTATCAAAGTTCATACATTTTAAATCTCAATAAAAATGTTTTATAGATAAATCTAATAATATTTTTCAATGAAATTTAACTGAACATCAGGTGATCACAATTGTTTTTATTTCATATAACATTAAAGTACAAAGGTACATTTTAATACCTGATTTGATCCAATCCAATTGTTACTTTTTGCAATCTCGTCTGTTGACAAGTCACAAATTTGCACTGTATGATTTTCCAAACTATATTCTTTTGTGACCATATYAAGAGGTTCTGGGATAAACGGATGCGAATTAGTCAATTTTAAAAATGTTTCTCTTGCCTATAAATTAAAATGATATTCATAGAAAAAGTTTTTAATATCTTAAACTAATACATTATACCTCAGTTTTGATTCTTTTCTTTTCTTCCTTAAGTTTCTTTTCAAAATCATCTCTGGCTTTCTTTTTTCTTGCAAGCTTTCTTTTATGAAATCCAGTTAAAAAATCTCTAAAAATATTAACAACACAATTTAAATTTGAGCCTAACATGTAAGACAATAACTACAAATAATACATTTTTAAAGAGTTTATGTAGTATGATATTATTTAGAACTGTGTATGGTACTATTGGTACTGTATCACATTATAAGTATATTCTGTGCGTGTTTAACGAGAACTGCGATTTAAATTATTAAATGATTCAAAAAACCATCCAAGTACCTTCTAGATTTTTCATCAAAAGTTATAGTTCGTTTGGTTGTCCTGTTAATTGGCTTTCGATGCCGTTTCACTTTTGTTCTGTCTTTGAATTCGTATTCCATGTTGACGGTACCTAAGTGAATTATAATTTTAAATTTAGAAAATAGGTATTAAACTATTGAATACTAAAATAGTAAATACTAATATTATTAATTTTTAAAACACACATGCCAAATGTTATCATATTGACATCAGGAAAATATTGAATTGATAAAGTGATAACAATTTATAACCTCAACAATCCAGTTCAGTCTAACCAACTGCAAAATTACCTAGTAGCGGTGCTAGTCAATTTTTTAAAAGTTCTAAATTACTTTTTTAAATTTTTTTAATTAATCGCTTAAATGCCATTTTGGTTATCTATTTACATTATTTACAATAGTGTATTTCTACCTATATTGTATTTTATACGAGTAACTACAGTAATTTTATATCAGTTTTCAGTTTATAAATGATGCAATAGGTATTGTATCTTTTTGATGTTCAATTCGTATAATTATTATTACATTTTCTTAACTTTAAGAAGTAGCACGAATTAAGACATAATTTCAATCAATTCTTAATTTTTGTTTTATACGCAATTAAAATTAAAATTAAAACGAATAAGTAAAAATTAGKATTTGTTTTTAAATATAGATACTTTTAAATAGTATTTAAAAGTAATCTTACTCAAGTACTTTACAAGAGTGATGCATAGAGCAATAAAACTGATGATGGTGGTTGGACATAGATTATAATATTATCTATGGGTGATCGGTGGGAAGATGGATTTCTAATTATTTTATATTATATCTAAATCTAATGAGATGACAACTTGAATCATATACGATCGTATATCATCTAAAGCTGGTRATGACTAACACAGCAGATCACACGAATTTCTTAGATTTTAAAATAGATACAAAACGTTTTTCAAAATATATTTCAATGTATTATGTAGTGATTATTGATTAGTGAAGTGATTAGTTTATTGAAACGGCTGCGAAACGGTGACGGCGAACTGCGAAGTTTCTTAAGACCCCTCCTATTGGTCATCACCTTATTATTACGCTCATGATTATAATATTAATATAGGTACGTATCCAATATCCAAATTCATAATATATTAAATTCGTTGACTGTAGGAAATCAGTACTGAGAAGTCACTAATCACTTTTGTTATACGAGTGCTTAATCTAAAATTACTAATTACTAATTACCTACTATCTAGGTAAGAACTAATATAAAATATAATAATAAATGAACAATTAGTTTATGTATAACAAAATTACTTGTGTTATAATTGTACAATGAGTATACTAATGATTTCAGAACAAATTATTAAAATTAGATAATTAGATACGTTGTTGGGTAGTATTTTAAATTATTAATTCTTTTTTTATGTTACAAWTTAGTCTCATGATTTTTGGAACGCCAAGTTTTAAAAAGATAATAAAATGTGTATTTAAAAAAAAAAGATTGTTACATACATTATAGAAAAATGGCTCAGAGTCAAGAGTCAGAAATCATTTTTATTTAAGATAAAGATTGTATGTAACAAAATGTATAGCTATTGTTGTTAATTGTTTTACATCCCGATTCCACAATCCCTGTATTCAGAAATTCATTGCAAAAATATAAAGTAGCAATACTAAACAGAAAATCACAATCGAATCGCTGATATCAAATATTAAAAAATCTAAACAAAGAACTATGAATTATGAAAATTAAAATGCTGAAGTAGAAAATGGTGATGACTGATGGYAGACAAAAAAAATAATAGTAACATGTTGATAAATCGAAAATCAATTTATACAAATCAATACTCTGTTTAAAATATAAAAATAATAAATAATTTATAAAATCGTTTGTATTTTATTGTTGTTATAAAATATGTTTATTTTTATAATTATAGTAAAAAGAACAACAAAGACAAACGATAAAACTTTGTTTAAGATTAATAAGATTTATCGATGACGTGAAAATAATTGTGTGCAGTAAAAATATTATTAAAATTAATAAATTTGAGTTTTAATGTAATTATAATGATTGCGACAGGTGTTTATTTTCATCAATACATCATTACCAAATAAAAATAACTTTTTGTAATTGTATTCGTATTATATAGGTAATAGGCTTGGATATTATTATATTACATTTCTAAAAAATGCCTCAATACGTAAGTTGTAGGTACCCACCCGGATATAGTACAACTTCCTATATCATGGTTGTAATTAATCTAATTCCAGTTCAAAATTTAAAATTATATCATGGTAAATTGTAATTATTCTTCATTTTAAATGAATTMCATGTAAGATGAGAGTAATTAATAGTCTGAGCGAAAATAATCTATGTCCATGCACGTCATCATAGTCTTTTACTCTATTAATTATTATAATAAAAATTTATATTTAAATTATCACTCATTATTCTATAGTTTGTATACTGTATTTTAATATTTAGTCGTATTATATCATAGAACAGTATATAATATATAGTATATACTATATATAAATTATATACATTATACAGTATATATATCTAGATAATATTTTAATGTTATTCGTCGTTATCAGTACGTACTACGTACCCGTTTTTAGTTCAGTTGTGTTGTGACTGTATACTCATTCTTTAAACACCTGTTAACCGGTTATTTTATTATCTTTGTTTTTTCTTTTTACTAGTGAAGTAGTGAGTAGTGAGTAGCGATTAGCGTCCACAGTATAGATTAGTATAATTTTCCTATGGGTATTTTGCATGCTCGTTCATCTTCGGGCGTCTTATTATGAATATGATTCGTTTGTATTTTTTTAATTTGTGCTATTGTAAGTGTTCGATTAACAATTGTTGTGAAAGCCCGATGAAAAAAAAACAACAAAACTAACATTGCAAAGCGCTTTTAATGAATCGGCAAAGAATCAATTTTTTTTTTTTTATTGTGTAATTTGATTAGGTATCTATTGGTACATCTATTTTTATTCAAGACGTTTACGTGTACAATACATGCGCGTGATGAAATTCATATCGCTTTTCCGCCGGAACCACAACCAGGGTAGCCCTTCCGAGGGGGTGAGGTCCTATCAGCAACCCCCAGTGACAATGGAATCAGCTGTTTTCCCGCCAAACAACAAACTACCTCAAGAAACGGAAAAACTTCAAAAGCAGCACCAGAAACAACAACATCAACAGAAGCAGCAACAAGGATTGCAGAGAGAAGCTATGGGCAGCCATGGTGCTATGGCTGTTGGCTTATCCCCAACCAACACAATTGAGCAGTCCAGTAACGTAACTGGGTACATCGAAGAGTTAGAAAAGCTACGTCTGGAAGTTGGACTGTTGAAGGTAAATACTAGAATTTATTATTACAATATTTATTTATGTTAAAAAAGTAAAAATAGTTAAACTTTAGAATGCTTAAAAATTTGATGTATTAAATTTTTGTAAACATATGTCATTGATAATCTAATTTTGTTTGTAAAATTGAAGATGAAAAATTATCATTTTAAAATTTAAATTTAATATAGGTAATGTAAATATATATATTAATTTCCATTGCATTTGTAACAAACAATATAATATATAACAGTGTTAAATGTGAAATTTAAATTGTTAGCAGTTATTATTTATATATATTTTTCATAGGAACAAAGAGATGTTGCTGAACGAAACCTAGCAATGCACATTGAAAGTGCTCATAATGTTTTGCCATGTGCATCTATATCTAATAACAAAGTAGATGATCGACGGAGATATCCAAGTTCAGCTCCTGCTTCTATAGCTCCTCCAAATTCAGCTAGTCAGGTTACTATCGGTAAAAGATTTACTATTCCCAAATAACTTGTTACTTATTTTTGTTATTAGGAATTATTAGACACACATGACTGGGATAAGAATTCTAGTTCTGTCAGTGAGGTGTCTTTGGCATGCTTACAGGATAGAATTATACAAATKGAAGAAACCCATTATAGGTAAATATTCATTATGTTAAATTTAATTAGTTTGTTTATAAGTTTAGAAATAATTATTATATATTTTATTAGTACTAATGAAGAATTACAAGCAACGCTGCAAGAATTAGCTGACCTTCAATCACAACTCTATGATCTTCAACACGATAATGAACGTTTGGGCAAGGAGAAAGGTGTGTTGTTGGAGTCACTATGTCAACAAACAGAGAAGTTAGAAGATGCTCGTACCAAAGTTGATGCGTTGCAAGGATTATTTCTTGTGCCTGGTTCTAATCCTCCATCATCTGTTACTGAACGCGAAGAAAAATTAGTGGAATTACTTAAAAGTGGGCAGGCAGAACGTGAGGCTTGGTTAACTAAACAAGAAGGGCTAATTTCTGATGCAAACGAATCAAGGCGAACATTAGATAATGAAACAAAAAAAGCCAATCAACTTTTAGAAAGGGTTAGGTTTTTGGAATCTACTGTTGACAGTAAAAGTGCTGAAGTCAAACAGTTTGAAGAACAGCTTGCTTCTGCTAAGGAAGAGATATCTTCAAAAAATATTGAAATCAATCGAAATCTCTTGTTATTAGACAATGCTAGAGCAAAGGTATGTTATTACTTATTATATTTATTTTTAATTAGTAGAATATACCTAGTAATAAGCATGTGCAATGAAGTTTTATTTTCAAAATTTTATTTTATACATTAGATCGAAGAATTAGAAGCAGCAAGAGATAAATTAGGTGATAAATCTGAATTAGATGAATTGTTAAATCATACAAGGCGTGAAAAGGATAATTTAGAGAGTCAATTAGCATCCATGCAGGAACGTGTGCAACGAGCATTATGTGAAATTGATCGGCTTAAAGAACAATTGGCAAATTCTAATGAACAATGTACCGTAGCAAGTAACAATGCTAAATCAGCTCTTATAGACCTACAATGGCAAAGAGACAAATGGCATGAAGAAGTTGCATCATTAACATCTGAATTAAAATCGGCTAAAGAAGCAGAATCAGAAGCACAAAGTTTATGTCAGAAATATGTTGAAGAAAAAAGGCAGCTAGCAGATGTATTATCTGAAACTCAAATGTGTTTAGCTAATGTTCGCAAGGCCCTTGAAGAAGAAAAATCTGAAATGCGTTCTGAAGTAATTAATACATTCTTTGAATTGGTGCCATTCTTTTCTCTAAATTATGAAAAAAGGCAGCTAGCAGATGTATTATCTGAAACTCAAATGTGTTTAGCTAATGTTCGCAAGGCCCTTGAAGAAGAAAAATCTGAAATGCGTTCTGAAGTAATTAATACATTCTTTGTTTCTGTTAATATATTTATATTTATATGATTTATTTTTCTAAGTATTTATTTTTCATAATTTAGAGAAAAGAATGGCACCAATTCAAAGAAGATTTATTAACAACTGTTCGAGTTGCTAATGATTATAAAGAAATTGTAGAGAAAGATATGGAACAAATTATTACAGAAAATAAAAGACTACGCGAAAAAGTAAAAACATTAGAAGCTCAACTTGATAAATTAAAACGTAAGTAATTAATTGCATCAATTATATTCATTTATATTCTGTTCAAGTAATATAATATACATTCTTAATTTTTTTCTGATTCTTGCTTAAAATGCATTATCTTTTCTTTACTTTTTTTTCTTCTAAGATCTGTGCTAAAACATTTTTATAAATAAAGCACATATTCTAATTATTATTTTCAATGTATAGATATGGATAAGCCTAGAGCTTTATCATGTAGTGCTAATTCTATTCTTAATCCAGTTATTATYGGGCATGAGATAAGTCGTCGTAGTAGTCATTCTAAACTTTCCCGCCAAGATAGCCAACTATCTGTTAAAACATTGATTGAAAGTATTGAAAATGCTACCAAACAAGCAAAAACTGGTATTTTTTGTTTATTATTGTTATTTATTATCATGTTCATTTTAAATTCAGAATTAATATTGTTATGTTAAAAATCTTATATTTTGATTTTAGCTGAATTTACCAGAAGCAATTCAACATCAAGTTTAAATGGATTAGTGGGACAGAATGAAAATGAACTTTTAAATAAGTTACCAAGAGATGGAGAATTTAAAGCACCACTTAGAGAACAAAATTGTCTCTCTGCAGACAATAATACAATGTCTGCTTGTGAAGAAACTGGTAATACAGTAAAATATGATTTCTTGATTTAATTTAATATATCATATATGTCATAATGTGTATACATAGATCCAATCAAAAAGTGTCAAAATGATGATTATCGTTCAAATGGATCAATTCTTTCTTCGTCACGCAACATTGACACATTTGCTCGTCTTGGAGGAACAATCGAAACACGTAATTTTATGATATTAAATAATTAAATATATGTATATAAATATTTAACTATTTTTATTTTTTGAGTAACTATATAGATATTTCATAATATTGATTATATTTTTCCAATACTTCAAATCTAGTTAAAAAAAAAAATATTGTTGTAGCTGAACGCCGTGATCCTCTTCAAGCATTAGTAAAAAATGGTGGTTCAAAACGCAATGCCTTACTTAAGTGGTGTCAAAATAGAACAATTGGCTATCCAAACATAGACATAACAAATTTTAGTAGTTCGTGGAATGACGGGCTAGCTTTATGTGCTTTATTACATACTTATTTACCAGATAAAATTCCATATTCTGAATTAACAACAGCAGAAACAAGACGTAATTTTACTGTTGCATTTGAAGCTGCTGAATCAATTGGTATACCAACAACATTAGTAAGTATTGTAATTATTTTGTATTCTTGGAAATGTATATTAAACTTCACAAAAATTGTATACTTATTTTTCCTGGAAAAAATCAAAATTCTACCACATAAGTGTATTCTCGATTCTTTTAACAATTTTACATTATAAAAAATGAATTTATTAAATAAATAATAATATACTTAATTGATTTTTGTATTTAAGTATACTTGAGTTACGAATAAAGCTATATCAATTGGCATTAGTATATTTGGTATCTAAATTATTGTGAGCTATTTTATTTGTTTTCCGAATCTTAAAAAATTGAATAAGTATTTATATAGTTTTTGATTATTATTACTAAATAATTCAGAACAAAAATAAGTATTTTTTTATAGAAGATTAAAAATATTTTCAAAATTAAACATTCATTAACCATAAGAAGTTCTTTAAGATAATTGAAATATTTGATAATGTTCAATATTATAATATTTATGAAACTTAAAACATAATTATTGAAAATATTTATATTTAATAAGTGTATTAGGTAATAATATTATTGTATTAGAAATTAGCATTTATTACAAAAACTATTCCAATTAAACAATAYGATTGCTAATGTTTATTTTAGAACATCAATGACATGATATCTCAAGAACGTCCAGACTGGAACTTAGTGATGGCATATGTAACTGCCATATACAAACAGTTTGAAACGTAATTGGGTTTTTATTACAACACAGCATTGCAAGACTGATTATAAAACAAATCCAATAATTTGGTGTGTTCCTAGGGCAAGATAACGTGTAAGACTTCTAGATTTTATCTGTAATATTAACTTATGGTTTCTATACTATGTATATCAAGTATCAATATTTTTCACCAAAATTGTATTTTAATATAAAAACAACTATAAATTAGGATTGTCTAGAAGTTGATCTAGTCAATTAAAAATGTATTATTTACATGTTTAGTAAGTAAGTTGTATTTTAAAGTTTTTGTATTTTATATTTTCACGAAAAAAGTATTTGTGTATGCAACAAGATTACAATGTATACATTATTATAATTTATGTATATATAATATAAAATATTTTGTAATTATAAAAAAAATTATTTTTTCTATTATCAAAGTGTTAGACTATTTTAATTTATGTGTAAAGTCACTGCCAGTACCACAATTGCTGTATGCTGTATTTGTGTTTCTTAAGTGCATGTACAATTTTAAAAACTGACGTTTAAAATTTAAACAATTTTTAAATACACACATTATTATTAGACTCCCGAACCTGATCATTCTTTGTGTGTAGAGAATTGCAATTTCTTTTCAAATATCACACATGAATACACGATGTAATTCCAACACTGTTCATGTGCTATGGACTAGCGTCCCGCATTACATAGTAACATGTATGTTAAGTCAACAGATATCTACTCTTGTCAGAATAAGCATTCGCTTTTGTTTAAACATTCTAAACCCTCCAAATAATTACAGAAATAATTGTTATATATTCGTGTGCTGAAAATATAATAGACGTGATGTAGTAAATGGTAATAATAACAATAAGTCAATAATTATCAATTAAACAACATGCTTGCTGCTTACATGCATGATACATATAGTATCTAGATATTAAATTGCCATGCAATTGCCCCCTCACCGATGGGATTGGCCCATCATTGCGGTGTCACATGGGTTCTTAGCTGCTGATCACACACTTGTTGTTCACTGGTAATTCCATTAGGTTGGTACGCCGGCAGAAGTGGCGCTGAAATTCCAATGTTTATCAGTCACCGCGTCAAAGTCCTTGGCCAGTTGACGTGTTACCGTCGCCCTCGCCGCTCGTCGTTGTGTGCCTTGGTAATCGGTCTGTCGGCTGACAGTTTTGTGACCAAATTCAGCACGACATGCCTGCTGTTACAGGGCCTACTGGTTTTCGTCGACTTCCGGTTGACGAACGACAGTAGTCATTGCTGTCGATCAACACAATTATTTAGAAACATTGTGACGACTCATCAAAAAGAGGAGATAAACAGTAATGAAACAAAAACCTGAACGACAATAAGAAAATGATAATTAATGTTCACTTCGCCCTCGGATTATGTATCGCAGCCGCTGCTATGTTGGGTACAGTCTCTTCTGCGGGTGAGTCAGRATTTAATCTTTGTATTAATATATATATTTTTTGGCCGATTTAATATTGTTTGTTTCTGAAAGGTGTGGYTTGAAATAGTGTATAGTTTTTGGTTATATTAATTTTTAAATGCYTTGTAGTTCGGAATAATTTACGTATTTTTATTTTATGGTATTTTGGGCAGGGCATCGATTTTATGAAGGGTGGGACGTCGTAAAACCGACAGAAATCTGATGTATAACATAAACTATTTTCGCGGCTATAATTAAATAATAGTAAATTTTTCGATGTTTACTAAATTACGATGGTATAAAACCTTGGACAACTCGAATAASTATTCCAAGAATTATTTTCTAAGCAATCATTGATTTTKATTTTKATTTATAATTAGTTTCTACTGTTTCAAAACTACCAAAAAATTGTAATTTAAAACCAAAAAYAAGACTGAAATATAGTATGTTATAAAATCATAATGCTGAATACTACTTAATTGAAAATWTGATTAAATTGTACCTATTTTTATTAAAATATCAGTTTAGTTTTAACAATCAATTAAATCAATTATATTGCTTAATTTTAAGTACCTTACTATATGATAATATAATATGGTAGGTATYTATATAAAGTCTCTATAAGTAATGATATCTATCAAACTCTTTTGCACACAAAAATATATGATTAACTTGACAAAGATGAAACCGGGTATGAAACTATTATATTTAATATTATTTTGATTAATATGACCTATAGGCTATTTGAACATTAAAATAATTTTGAAGATTATCATAATTGCTATTAAGTAGTTTTTAATTCAATTGTTAACTGATTTTAACTAGGTAGGTACCTACCTATTTGTCATTGTTATGTTTTTCCATGTTGTTACTTAATAGTTATACTTTCTCTAATGTATTAGGTGTTTTGTTATAATATTTACTTCCAAGAAAAAGGAATCATTAAATGGGTTCTTACACACTACATGTGAACACACTGAGGAATGACCAACAGTTACCTCAGGGATATAATTTTTTTAAATTTAAATTTAGGAAATCAATTTTAAATTCCTATATTTTAATTTATTAGTTACCTAATTATAATCTATTGTTTTCTACAATTTCATAAGTGTTATAACCTATTGATAAAAATCAGATGGTCCCAGTGGTAAGTAGGTTTATTGCTGTATAATGTTTGTGATATTATTAAATCCTTAGTTTTGATGGGTATTTAAAACTATAAGAATGAGTTTTATGGGATGCAGTGTAAACAATATGCATGTAAATGTGTTTTTTTTAGCTTTTAATGGTTTTAAATATAGATATAATACTAAAATTAGGAAAGCAGATGTTTTTCAATATTATGACTTATACCTTATATAATATAGGGAGAGTGTGTTACATCATAGTATAAGTATCTATATTGGTACTATATTTTAATGCAACAAATTATTCCAATAGTGATCCAATTTATTAAATTGTCCTGTACATTAGTGTTTGTCTTTAAAAAAAAAGATTTATAAATATTAGTGCTTATATATTTGAAAAAATGAGGTACAATAAGATTATAAGAATATAGCTGTATATTAGTGTCAGTAATATTAGATTAATATTTAGTCAATAAATAGGTATAAGTTATTTAATAGAATCCYAACTTTAAATATTGTATGTAAAATACTAAAACGTCTAAAACTTTAAATGTATATGTTTCATATAAATTACTAAAATAATTGATTCATCATTTAGAAATAATAGATTAATTAAATGCAAAAACTTTTTCGCGCGGGAAAGAACCGAGAAGGCTACAGTTATAACTAAGAAACGAAATTTTCACCAAATAATAAGGAGAACATTTACTGTGCAACGTTGTTTTCAATTTTTCGATATCACAAATAGAAAAAAAAGTTCTTATTGTTTCAAAATTCACTATTTTTGCATTTTTAAAAATCGAATAACTTTTTTTTCAGTTCTAATATCAAAAAAATAAAAACAACGTTGCACAGTCGAAATTCCCTTTTATCTGTGGTGAGAATTTCGTTTCTTAGTTATGACTGTAGCCTTCTCGGTTCTTTCCCGCGCGAAAAAGTTTTTGCAATGTTACGTACTTGTAAGACGGAGACAACACATGCGGGTGTAGCGTCCTCTTAAAGTTAAAATGTTGACGAAATTGTATATTCTTGCAATCACTCATAAATTTAATCATTTTAGTTTTTTTATTGTAATCCAAAAATTATTATTAAATCCTTGAAACTTAAAATATGTCACTGATAATTAAATTATCATTTTCTATGAAATGTTTGAATTTTAGTTTTGATTATGTTGTTAAAATTAAAATGTTTTAGGTTTGGGTAAACCACTTCAGCTTAAAAATATAGTATTAAATTCCACTAAATTATTCTTATTGAAATGATTCTCAAAAAAAGTATAATTTTATAATATAATAAATATAATATAAAAAACTATAAATTAAAAAATTAAAAGATATTGAATATTATCGGAGGATCTGAAAATTCTTGCGTTTGCATGTTTTTATTTATTTGATCAAAAATTTGATAGATCAATTACAAATTTGATTTAGGTACTCTTATATAAATCAATATCAGAAATTTTCTTTTGCACATTTCGAGGTTTTTACTTAAAGATCGTAAAAAGAAATTACTTTTTAAAGGCATGTTGATGTCGATGATAAAATTTATATTTTACTTAATACATATATATTATATACACATAAATTGAAGATAATCAAATAATAAACAAAGTGTAAAAGTATATATTATAATAGGTACATAATATATAATAGGTATTATACGAAGTTATGTCTGACAGCAGCCCGATAATGGCTAAATGTTAAGTAGATCCGTAAATTTTTATCAAGATGTTTAATTAACCTAAAATGTTTAATATTAATTTTTTAATATATTTTAAACATGCAACAATTTTATTTGTTGAAAATGAATATTAAAAATTAAAAAATTAATAATATTAAAAATAGGTACTCAAAATTAAATAAATAAATAAAAAAAATATATAATAATTTAATAATTAAAAGTGAATATTATTAATCAACTTAATWGAAATAAAAATTGTAATATTAAAGATTTGTTTTTTGTTGATACGATATACATATATGCATATATAATAACAATTTAAGGGCATATTATTTTTACCCGGATATTAATTATTTCAGAGTTTTGTAAAGGATATTATAGTACCCGCATGTGTTGTCCCTACTGTTGTCTCCGCAGTGCCCCGTTAAGCTATGTTGCCACTCCAGGGCAAATTAAAATATGCCACCCTTAATTTTTTATTTTATGTTGATTCTCAAAAATTTGCCGCCCYTTRCCCCTCGTTAAATGTGGCTCTGTGTCTCCGTCTTAAATACGTACGCCAAAGCAAGTTTTCGTTTACCAATTTTAATAGTGTGCCGTTAGTTTTGATATATTAGGGTGAATTGGCTTATTATCAAACTTTAAGTGAAGATATTATCTGTGTTCTCTCGGTCGGGTTTTTATGATATTTTAAATTTAAGTGTCTTATGAGTAAAATATATGTAAAATATAAATATTTTCAAAGGTCCTCATAAGATATTTTWATAGCAGTTCAAAAATACTATGTAGAAATACTGTAATGTAAAATACTGTACCCTATACAGTCACGATTATTTTTTATTTACATTTAAATTTTAAATTTTTCCATCTCAAAAATCCCGAAAATGTACAAATTATTATATTATATGTTTTCGTAGTTTACATTAGAAATTTGAATAGAAGATTACCAACAAGTTTTTCTACCTTTACCAAAATAAGTTCACTGGAAGTTTCGCCATTTATAGCCTTGATATATTTTCGATTTTTATAATTTTTTTTTAATTATCCAACTTGATTATTTATATAAT